TACTGAATAAAAAGGGGATTCCCGGCACCTGGTACTGAATAACAAAGGGAGTACTGACACCAGGTGCTGAATAACAAGGGGAGCACTGGCATCTGGTACTGAATAACAAGGGGAGTGCCGGCACCTGGTACTGAATATCAAGGGGAGAACCGGCACCTAGTACTGAATAACAAGGGGAGTACTGGCACCTAGTACTGAATAGCAAGGGGAGTACTGGCACCTAGTACTGAATAGCAAGGGGAGTACCCATACCTGATTTCTCCACTTCAAGCATTGTGTGTGTATGTGCGTGAGCAAGCGGGTGTACCTTACCTTATGGGGACACAATGTTCCCACAATGTGGTGAATACCTGTTTTTTTCCCTTATGGGGACCAGTTTCTAAAAAATTCAAAAATTCTTGTATTTTGCTTGGTTAATTATGGTTATGTTTAGGGCTGGGTAGAAGTTAAGGTTTTCATTGTTGGAATTAAGGTTTTTCCCATAGAGACAAAAGTAGAGTCCGAAGAAAGATATGAATACAAATGTGTGTGTGTGTCCTTTAATTGATTGACAGTCTATCCATGGCATCCCCTGTTCTGTGCCCTGTGCTTTCTGGGATATGTTCCAAGCTCATTATGACCCTGTACTGGATAAACAATTCATATATGGATGGATGGATCAATGGATGAAGGGATGAATGGATGATTAGTGGTGTTTGCCTGGAGAATGATCAATGTCATCGTTATCTGTGTTGGTTATGCAGGGAGAGGTCACCGTGACCGAATGACATCACTCAGGAAGCTGAGGACAGGACGGTGAGGGTAGGGTTGTTGCTTCACACCTTCAGCATTGGGGCTTAGATTCCCGTCCTGCTGAGTGTGAGGAATCTGCATGTTCCACACCTGCTTATGTGGCTTCCCTCCAAAGCTATGCAAACACATGCAGTTCCAGAGGACATATAAACTGTATTTAGTGTGTGCCAGTGAGCTTGCGTATGGTCTACCTTTTCAGGGGCCCTAGGCAAAGCTTTACTACGGAGCCTCCCCCACCAAGAAAATTGATGATTATTTCACTTGGTCTACAATGCAAGTAATTCAGGGCCCCTCGGCAACTGACTATTTTGCTGTTAATTTGAGCCAACCCTGGTCATGTGTTCCATTGTGTGACAACTTTGCAATAAAGTGGCTTCTCTTTTGGGACAATGTGTGGCTCAGCAGGGTAGGACACTATTCCCATGAACGGAAGGTTGCTGGTTTGAATCCCAAGGTTGGTTGAGTGATGTCACCATTGGGCCTTCAAGCCAAACCCTTAACCCCAACTGTTCCAAGAACTGGCTGACTCTGCTCTCTTAATTGTACTTTGCTTTGGATAAAAGCAATTGCTCCATAATTAATGTTTATCACAAAAGTGTTTCAGGGAAAGGACACTGAGTGAAGGCGTTTGGTAACAATTAGCAAATAACATGCACATGACCTCCAACCTGCTCTATTTGTAACCCTTTATTATTGTATTGTTACATATTTTGCTTGGACAACCCTTAAGCTAGACTGAGAAAATATGTCACAACAATACTGATAATGAAACCCATTAAAACAATTTCTCTTTCATGTAACTGCTCCTAACTTGTCTAAAAACAGTGAACTGTCTGAGTTTCTGAACTCCAGTGATATAATATGGGTCTGTGTGCATTTATGAGTCAATTTTATGCTTGTGAAACTTGTTTTTTTTCTATAAACTACAGAAACAACTTGCTTCTTTTCTTCTTTCTTTTTTCTATACTATGTGGGGCACTCTTATCTCAGTGTTTCACTCCTTGGGTACTTTGGACTCACTAATGCGGCACCTCACTAATGTATCTCCAAAGGGATTCTGGGTAATGCCATGTAAGAAAGATGGCAGCTTGTTATGTGGCGGAAACGAGACAAGCTGCCATCCATCACGGAGATTTTCTCTCCTCTCTTTGTTAGCGTCACAATAACTGGTCTGCCATTGTTTCCACCAGAGTAATTTACTGGATGTTAGCGGCACACATTGTTATACTCGGAGCATAATCAATTCAGGTGCTCTAAACTTGGAAGTCACACAGACAGTACATTTCATAACACAATGTTCGTTCGCTTGTTTATCGTACTTTGACTGCAAAATCATACATTTTCATGTTTTATGCGCAACTACATTTCCACAGCCAGATCAAAACCAGTTCTCACTTTTTAAACGAAGGGTGAGCTTTTCTAAAAGTAGGCTGGCCTTTTTTTCCCCTCAACTCCATTAATTATTTCTTCTTCAGCAGGTGTTTGTTTGTGTGCTGGGGGGCCGACAGTGCTGCTGCTTACACTGTCACGGCTCCTGACAGCTTGTACAAATCATCGGGCGCTGGAAGGAACATCCCTGACTCCCCTGAACGGGGAGCATAAATTATACAAATGACTCCGTCAAAAACGACTCGCACAATCTTGTTCTAATCATAACTCGTGTGCTTCCACTCCACTTAATAAGAGCGGCAAAATCACATTTTTAACCCATTAAACTGTGCTTCTGTCCAGTGTCCAATTTGACCTGGACTCATCGGTATAAATTATGGGGGGAGTGGGTTGTAACTAGGGCTGGGCAATTAATCGAAGTTTAATTTCAATTACAATTTTGACTTCCAGCGATTATCAAAACAAAATAATCGAGATAAAACGATTATCGTGCTGCATTTCATTTCGCAATGACGATCCTGTTTTGTCTTGTCCACACTCCTTTCTATCCACTTTTTAGTCTCTTTCTCAACTGATTTTTATTTAGAGTTCAAGGAAATCCACGGTTAAAAAGATAAATTTTTAAAAAGTTTAATAAAAACTCATGATATTTCCACAGTCAATGAGTAATTGTGCTAAATAATCGCAATCTCAGAATTGACCAAAATATTCATGATTATGATTTTTGTCATAATCGAGCAGTCCTAGTTGTAACCCTCCCAATAATCAAAACCAGCCAACACAACCCTCTGGACCCCCTTAAATGACTGGAGACCTTAACCCCCCCTAATGCTCAACCCAAAGTTATGCCCTTGCCAGTGATGCTGTACTCTAATCCAGAAGAGTTTCTTGGCTTTCCTGTATAGTGTACCCTCAAAAGAAATATGAAAATTAATAAGGAAATCAGTAAATACTTTTTGAATGTATTAACAATGTTATAATCCTAGGTCGTGCCTTTTGTGTTTTTTGAAACTCAAGCCAGCTTCCTCCACCATGAAATAGAGTTGAAAGCGCGAGGTGGATCAGACAAACCTCAGCTGTCGCCAGGCCGTGTTCTCATAACCGGGATGCTCTCCCTCCTCTTCGTCTGCCCCCCCCCCCCCAGCAGTACTGTCCCCCCTTTACCATATTTTACACTCTGCAGTCACACCACGCCACCTTTATGCTGCCAGCTCCAGGGATGCTATATTTATTTCTTCCCCCCCCCTTTTTATTTTAAATCACTTGATTAAGGAGGGAAGAGCGAGGGATGAGATGGAGGGAGCGGTTGGGGTGTTAAGTGCAGGAATGAAAGGCGGCGTTTGGAGTTCGGCTCAGCTGGGGCCCGGGGATCTGTACCGGGGCAAGATCCTGACAGGAGCCCGCTGACAGGTTGCTTATTACTATTCGTACCAAGGAAACAAAGTGGAGGGGGGGGGTGGGGGGTTTGCCAAAAAAGAAAAAAAAGCACCCTATCACGGGTTTTTGACAGATCCAGGGCCGTGTAATCTGGGGGCCTTCTCCCTGTTTTCCTGTCACCCTAAACCACCCACATCAGGACTTCATATCGAAACAGATTTATTAAAAAAAATTTGTCCGGAGAAAAAGATCCTCGGGTCATGTGCGGAATCGGGCTCGTCGATATGTGTCAGGAGCTCAAAGGCCATTAATAAAATATGGATCTGAGCAGTGTTGTGGGAGGCGGAGAGTCAAACCAGCTATTCTGAACAGTAAAGGCATTTCTGATTTTAATTTAGACCGGCTGCCAGCTCCTGAGTATGAAGCAAATCATTTGTTTCCAGATTTATAATTGAGAATAAATAATATTATGGCTGATTGTTTATATTTCTATATGTTAATGCGTATAGGATGTGTAAGGTCAGAGTACGTCGGGATTTGTTTACCATGTTAATGCGTATAGGATGTGTATGGTCAGAGTACGCCGGGATTTGTTTACCGGCTGTCCAGGCTTGATTGGTGACAGCGTGATTCCCTGGGTATTGATGACTGGCAGGATCTGGTTGCCAATAACTGTGGCGATGATCTGGCCCTGGGCGTTGGTCAAGAGTTGTGGCGTGATTGGCTGGACCTGAAGCCCTGGAGCCCCGCCCCCTGACTGGCTGGAGGGCCCAGCGGAGTTCGGCATCAGCGGGATCGTTCCGATGATCTGTCTCGCAGAGAAAGAGGGGAGGTGCTCAGGTTAGAAAAGACACATTTGAGAACGAGGCTGAATTATGATCCTCACTGTGTGAAGTGGTAAAGAGTCACCCAGGGAAAAGCAGTAGAAAGCAAGGCCAGGGCAGTATAGCAGCAGGGCAGATCTGTGCTGGGGGGACTGGTTAGCTGTGAGACCCCCCCACTGACCCACATTGTGCTGCCGCCGCACTGGGAGACATCAGCTCCGTCACCTGCCTGCGTGCTGGTGCAGACCAGTGACCAGATTACACATGGCCAAGCCAATGGGGGTAATATTGCCAGCGGAGGTTCCCTCCCCCTCTATCTCCATCATTATTAATTCAGGAGTCACCCCACCCTGCCCACTGCCTCCCCATCCCTCTCGTCTCCTCCGCCATAATGTGGAAGCGGAGATCAAAGACGACGGCTGAATGTCACCGCCGCTTTGGTTCTCTGGGCTGCTCCTCGGCTGTTCATGGTGCTGAGGAGAGTGTCGGCGGACTCAGCCCGAGCGGGGAACCTCAGCCTCTCGGCGGCGGCGGCGTCGAGCGCTTAATGCCATTTGCAGTCGTCGCCTTTGATTCGGACCTCTTACGACTCCCTGATCATTATCCGAACGGGCTGTATCGTAATAACCTGAAAGCGTGGGCCTGGCTGTCACGTGACCGAGCCGTGCATCAGTATCAAGTTTCACTTTGAGGTGCCGTGTCACTCTCCCCAAAGTAAGGACACCCCAGGAGCAAAATCTGCTTCTATATATATTTTTGCATCTATATAAATATGTTAATAGTCATTATATATTGATTCAGCGTACAACAGAATGTTACAGTAGATGCTGTTGCACAGAGGCTCTGGTAGGGGGCACTGTATTCATGCTAGTTTTTTTTAATTAGCAGGTTGCAGAAGTGCTAAAATATTTCAAAAAACAAGTGGCATATTTCTGCAAATTGGTATTAGTGATCAGGTCATACAATAAATATAAAAAATAAGATAAACTAAAATGTTAAACTAAAATGTTACAAAAGACATTCCTGTTCAGAAATGATCAATGTTCTCATTTAGAAAAAATGTTCTTATTTGGAAAACAAATGTGTTGTCAGAGAAATCATATTATTTTGGTATTTGCTTTGGTTCCAATACAATTTTGCAACAATCAGAATTTTTTTTCAGCCTCAAAATTCATTTATGACTTAATGGCAGGCAGGAAAAAAAATGAGGAATCTGATCAATATCAACACAAAATTGACAAAAATGTAAATAGCAAACATAGCTTTAAAAAAAACAAAAAAAAAAACATAACACTTGCACGCATAGCCCAACCCGCAAGACATCAAGCTTCTGCACAGATGCCTTTTAGTTTTGTGTGGCTGTCACCTGTCACCTGTCCCGTGACCTACAGGTGGCGCCCTGCCCTGTTACAGTACAGCCAGCTGCGGCATGGCCGGTGTGGGGTAGTTTTCACTCAGGCATCTGCAGATGCCTGCTGCTTCTGTCTCGGCTAATTTGAGCCCTTTCTCCAGGGCTGAGGGCCTTCCTGCCTGCCCGCCTCTTGCCCCGCTCTTTGACATAACGAGGGGGGATGAGTGTAAAAGAGGAGGCCGGTGGTTTGTAATTCACACCCAGTGCGGCTCATTTGCTTACGCTGCCTCGCATTAAGCGGTAGACAGAGTCTCTCTCTCTCTCTCTCTGTCACGTTTCCACACGGATATCCCACCCCTTTGCATATTTTATTGCCCTCGCTGACTCTCGCAAGTCGGTGGCTGCTCTGCCTAACGGGTGAGCTGCGGCACTCAATTATTCAGCTTCTTAAGGCGCGGGCGGCTGTGCTCGAACCTCGATAACAGGCCGCGGTGCTAACGGCTGCGCTCGCCGAGGACCCGGCGCTCCCTCTCTCCGTCTCCGCTTATCTGCCCCTGCTTTACGGCACTTGGCAATTAAGTAGTAACCATCAAATATTTCTCAGTCAATTGTTAGTGGTGGCAGAATGAAATACACAGAACATCAACAGAAATTTCAGATTAAGTAGCGATGCCGTCTTTAGTGACTGGGAGTACTGGAAGCTGAAGCTTATGAAGCACCCCCCCCCACCACCTCTGTCTACACCGCTGTGGAGGTGGTATAAGCTTGCCCTTCCTCCTACAACATCCAATCCTACACTTTATCCTTATTTATTTTCATATACTGTGGTCCATTTGGCATTATATATTGGGGTCAGTTTTTCCATTGCACATATTTATTGCTTATTTGTTACTTAGTCTTATATTGCACTGTTTTGTCCTACACCTGTATAGTATTGCACTACCAGACCTATGCTGGCCATCTGGCATACTGGACAATTTCCTTGTGGGTCGTAGGTCATGTACAATCCCCCCCCCCCATCCCCTTCCCCTTGTTAAAATGTCCCATGGGGCCGTGGTGAACCCCTAAGTCCAGGGTTGATTTTTAATCCCAGTCCAGCCCTCTGCACTGCTGTTTTTCATATACCCCAAAGCATCTGCTCCCAAACCAGCAACTGTGGCATAAGAATTTCACCGTGTTCCTCGGAACACATGTGACAATAAAACTTGAACCTTGATTCTGTGCTATGTTTGTCCTTATTGTCACCATCGTCTGCCTACTCTTTGCTCCTTGTCTTTGTGTATTTTAGAACTACTCTGGACTGACTGGATTCGTCGTGTCCATGGATGTCCTGTCACGTCCCTGACCTTGGAGAATAACTCATTGTGATTATACTTGGTTCGTTTCCATAGGAATATCATTGCAATGTACTGACGTTTGCATGGTTGCCTGTGATTTTTGGAAGAGTGGTGCCATTAAAGATTATTTTAATACGTTTTGTGGCAAATTCCACTGAATACGATGGAAGAAATATATTTGATTAGAAATCAACCTCTATTTTAAGGATAAATATGGAGGTATTTGTAATCTAAAGAAGCACAGACAGCTTTTATTGTTCTGTTGTGCTTTTTGGGCTTTCAGAGAGGGGCTGTCTACTGGCCTATGGTGTCACCCAATCAGAGTAGGAGGTAAAGTGATGGGGCAGGATCCCGTGGCCTCCTCCCAGGGGAATCGTGATGATTTGACCAGAGATGCTGGGATTCCTATGCACCACCAGAGCAGCAAAACAGAACCAAACCTCCACCTTCCATCCTGCAGAGGCATGGACTACTCAACACCTTAAACGCGTAGCAGCGGCGTAAAGCAGAGTAAACCACATGCCTCAGACCTGGAAAAAGTCCCGGAAATAGATGAAGAGCTTTTTTTTATGGTACATACTTTTCTCCAGTCCCCTGACCATCTCTTCATATGGAAATGGCATTTCAGACATTGTGTTACTTTTGCGAAATTGCCTACTGAGTATTTAGCAATTGCTATCAAGCAGACTTTTGCTTGCAGTGTGATTGTGCTTGCAAAGCCATACTGTACATGTACAAATGTGGTTTAACTAACTCTCTTTTAGTTGCACTGTTGTATTGTTATGTTTCTTATTTGCTGTTTTTGCCTAGTTTTTAGTGTTCCAGTAGATCCAAGGAAATCCTTATTTTTAACTTGGCACTCCCCGAACACTTCTGGAATACTTAATTCCCTATTAAACATTTAATCATGAAAAAAAACAAAAAAACTGAAAGATCTCATTTTAGTACCCTTCACACAACACTTTCTTTGAAAGTTATAAGGTTGTTATAAAATTCAGAACTTACATCAGCAATGAAAAGATTAAAAGGATTCGGATGTCAATACAATGGAGCGAGGAGGAATCATTTACAAAATAAACTACTATAGAACACTGTCTTGAACTTTGCATTTCTTTTCCATTAGAACTAACTGATCACATGAATTTTATACAAGTTGACAAGGAGCTTGATTTGATGTAGTTCCTTCCCAAAATCTCCTTAAAATATATTCAACATAAAAAAGAATAATTGCATTGTTTTTTCATGTTATAAATAAATTCCATATTCTGCATGTAAAGAATAGCATAACAGGGAGATTGATGGTGCTTTGAAAGGGTGCTGACACTTCACAACAACAGCAAACCTGGAAAATCATAGGGAGCAGAACTAAATTGCACTCCACTGGACAGTTTAATAATGGTCTTAAGGCTCAAGCATTTTACTTCAGCACCTCTTGCATTTTAATGTCCACAAGTCCTACAATCACCCCACACATTGCTGAAGCCAAATCTTTTTTGGTCAGTTTGTTTGCCAGATAAGTTGAGCTACTAGCTGTTAGCCAGAGCTAGCTAATGCACAGTGGGCGCTATTAATGACATGTTTTTGTATTTTCAGCTGAGGTCAGTGGTTAAGTACCAGGCCTGCACTGCGTCTAAAATTGATGTGACATATAAAGCAATGCAGTATTTCAAGGAAATATACCCCTTCCTGCCTCCTCTCCCAAATTTTATCGTAAGGACCTGAATATGTCTTCACCGGTCATCCGGCCTGGTTTCAGTCGTTTATTTACTTACTGGCAGTGAGGTGGAAGTCATCTCTGAATGTGATGTGAGCTTTCAAGGCTCAACAGAGAATAATGGGCCACCATGATGAGGTATGGGGGGGCGGGGGGGGGGAGGTTTGGCTGCAGGCTTCGGCCGCTCCTGTGACCTGATTATGTCAGGTAGAGTCAACTGCTGAGCCTCTACAAAAACAGCTAGCCCATCCCATAATGACCCCCCTTCTCCGGCTCGGGCCCCGGTGCTGCTGGCGTCTCCAGGAGCCCGGGGCCCCCGTTCAGCCTCGTTAGCGGCATTATGCACTGACCGCCTGATTACACGGGTGCCAGTCTGCATGCACATGGTCACGAAATGTCACAAAATCAACCGCATGCTAAGACAGGCCATGGGTTCACAACCCAACTGATGCCAAACCCAGCATCTGAGATGAGACACACAGACACTCATGCACACAATCAAAAAAGTTTTACCATGAATGGCAGCCAGGGCTGAATTTAGGGTGGTTGGGGGCCCCTGGGCTAAAGTTATAGTTGGGGCCCTGTATGTTGCTGTAGCAACCAGAAAAATATTTTGGGGCCCATACAACTCGGGGCCCTGGGCTACACCAGGTTAACCCAAGAATAAATCCGGTCTTGATGACAGTAGCAGAAGCTTGATTGCGGAAATATGAATAGTTTAATAATAATGGTAATCATTTCCCCCATGTTCCTCTCCACCCCCCCATTCTGCATATCTAAATTCTTTCATTTCTGATGGTTTCTCTCCGAAAATCTCCAAACCAAAATCAAACCTCATGTTCACAGTCATTCACCCACATCTACTAGACCCATATTTACCAGACCCACATCCGCTAGACCCAAGTAAAATGTCCATTTTCCCAGTAGTGCATACACTACACATACTGTATAACCCTTCTTGCCGACTGTCTCGAATTTTATCATGAATATGTCTTACCTGGTCATCCGGCCCCGTTTCCGTCATTTATTTACTTGGAGGTGGAAGTCATCCCTGAGTGTGATGTGAGCCTTCAAGGCTCAACAGAGAATAATGGGCCACCGTGATGAGGAATACGGAGAGGCTGGATCCAGACACAGGCAAACTAAAGACTGCCTAGGGTGTGTTCAGTGTAAGGAGGCCCGGACCAAGTCAGGAAAAAAATATCCATATATTATATAGGCTTTCATTTTTCAATTGATGAAAAATATAATTGCGCAAAATTAGAAAATATAAAAAACAAAACCAGTTAGCTACAAGCAGAATAGACAGACAGTAGCCCCTGAATTACCTGCACTGTGGAGGAAGTGAAATGATGATAATTTTTCTTGGTAGGGGGGCCTCTCAAGTAAAATTTTGCCTAGGGCCCATGAAAAAGTAGGTCTGACCCTGATAGGGGGAGTTTGATTGTGGAAAAGTTTATAAGTTTACTTATAATGGTAATCATTTTTGCTCTCTGCACCCATTCAACATGTCTAAATTCACTCATTCCTGATGGTTTACAGTTCTGCAGTAAATCTCTCTCAAAAACCCCAAACCAAAATCAAACCTCATGCTCACTTTCATTCACCCACATCCACCAGAAGCCAGACCAGTGGCAGCTGGCCCATAGGGGGCGCTCGGGCGCCGCCCTCCCAGATGTGGGGGGAATATAAAATATATAAAAATAATTAAATATATATATATTTTTTTTATCAACGTCAGTTTTACTTAATAGTGTGTGCCTACATGCAATCTGAATTATTTAAACAACATTTCCACCAAGTGACTCTCATCTAACAGTGAATTTCCACCGACAGATTTCCACCAATCATTTCTCTTCTTGGGCGCTCGTCAAAGCGCCCCAGAAGTGCAGCGAAATAGCCAATCGTGTATGGTTGCTAGTTGAAAATAATAAAAATTTGGCCTATCAGGATCACCGAATGAAATGGTTTTGGGGCGCTGGAAATTTCGCCCCTGCTACAGAAGATGCGGGAAAGTTTTGGATTGCTCTCAGGTGAGTCTGCAGAGAGAGATGATGGCGACGACGACAGTTGAGGGGCAGTTTCCACCAAATTCGGTGAGATCGTTATTGAATTACCCTTTTGCGAGAAGGACGATGGTGGAAAAAAATCCACGTTAAGGAGCTGGGACCCGACAAGCCCGAAATAACTGTAGCTGTAAATTGTTAATTTACTATATCTGTGAAACTGCTGATTTTGAGAAGGAAATTAAATTATGATTGTGAAATTGTTGTCATTTTCTGACTGTTCATTTGAATGCTTATACTGGACTAGGAAGGGAAATCTATTCGTATGTCAGCCCCACCAAGAATTTTTTTCACCAGCCGCCACTGAGCCAGACCTATGAATTAACCTTCCTTATTCCACTGCTCTTCCTTGTGGTGTCCAGAGACCAGGGAGTCTGACATCTCCTGGGTCTGAAGTGTTTCCCCCGATGCGATGCACATTTGAGATACTTGAACTGTGTTAAAAGAAGGTACGCAGACGCTAGCAGTTAGCGGTGCCTCGATCTATGTCGCTTAACAGTAATTGGTCTGTGATTGCTCCTGAAGTTTTAATGGCAGCAGTCTATTAGAAGAGTGTAGGTAAACTGATTTTAAAAGCTCAAATGAAAAATGAGTTTGACTTCAGGAGCGGCTTTGAATAAATCATCTTTCAATATATAATACAACTAAAACACATATTGGCAGGAGATACAGGGTGACTTCATTCGCTAATCACTTAAATTTTCAGGCTCTGATCCCCCTGAATGACTGAGGCAGCAACGGCACAGATCTCAAGTAAAATCTCTGAGCAGGGGCTGTGGTTTGGGTTGGGGGGGGGGGGGGGGGGGGGGGGGGTGGTTGAGGCAGCCATCGGTCTTGGGAGGGAGAGTCAGGTGACTGTAATTGTTTGTATTGATTTTTCACCTGTCCCTTGTTCCCCGTACGCCTACATATTGGTATGACCTGCTTTTGTTTTGTCAGTAACCTGGGCTGGAGGCTTATTTGCGCCTTCGCTCCCAGATCGCAGAGAACCATCCTCCTTATATGTGCATTGTTTACATTTGCCTGCGCTCTGCTTGCCGAAATTGATTTTTTTCCCGAATGCGTCCCATCCCAGATTTTTTTTCCTGTCTAACCAAACCTCCTCCTTGCTGCTGTCTTCCATCTCGAGAAGAGAACTTAAAGCAAAGCTTTGGCCCACTGTAAGATCACGTGTAACGTGATTCCCAGAGCTATGGACTACCCCCCCCATATTCAATATATTGATATGCTGTTCAGATCTCTCTTTCTGCATTATTTCAATCATAGATGTTAAAACTCATAATTTACACCCTGCCATGCGTACCACTGTATAGATACATTTGTTACAAATGTATATATTGTTCAGTTGTTCCTAGCACTTGTGCACTATTTTTGCACTTTCAGATTAGATTGTCTGTATTTTACTGTGCAATGACAATAAAGCTGAATATAATCTAATCCATTCTAAACTGAGTACCTAGTTCCTTGCCCAAGATCTGGTGACCAATCATCTCCTGGTTACCAGGTCTTCATCAGAGCACAGGTTTTGTCCCTGATCCCTGACCAGTGGCAGAGCATCCTAACCCCCCCCAGGCCCCACACCACCACCCATGAAGCCATCCCCATATGGGAAATAATTGGCAAATGGCACTGAAGTAATTCTGTGCTTCTTATGCATATTTTACCAGATTGATTTATTCAGACCAGATTATCGTGTTTGGTTTGGTGTAAACATTGGTACACAATTCACGCTGTGAAGTCTTCTGAAGGAGTGATGCCTGGTTTACGGGGGCGGGTGGACTGTCGATTCCCCATTAAAGACATGATTAGTGACCAGGACTGGGGTTCAGGTGGGATGCTGCAAGCACTCGACGCAGAAAGCCATTTACGCTCTTGGAATGAAAGCAACTCGGGCGGCTATGAGCGGCCAACTAAAAACTTCCCTCCAAAATCTTCATTTATGTGCACACACAGACAAACCCATGTGCTCACACAAATAATAAATTCTCCTTTTAGGATATTGAGCAGCTAAAGCTATCCTATCCCCACTGATATAAAAAGGGGACTCCCTTGATGAAAACTGCAATGAAACAAGGGTTAGGGTAAATAACACAAAGGTTGGACTAAGGGCCACATTGTCTATACAATCTTCCTTTAATATGTGCTGTGTGCACCAGCGATAAGATGATTCATTATAGAGGTCTCCTCTCTGACAAGCATCATCGTTCAAGCTTCCAGCTACTGATGGAACAATACTGCTCCCAACTTGTGAATATGGGAAGGTCAGCGTTTTGCCGAGCTGTGCGCAGCTAGGAGAGAGTCCATATAGCTGCCGGGGCCCACGGAAGCTTCGCCAAAACGAGTGGCTAATGACAACCAGGAGACCGAACAGGAGAGTCTGTCTGGCTCTTCGCTTTAGCTGTCGTTCAGCCTTGCCAGTGAATCAGTAAGTCTCGGGTCTGGACCGGACCTGGAGCTGGTAAAATGTAATTTGGTGAGGGTCAAGTGAACTCTGAGCAACTCTGCTCCAAAAAAAACTGTTTGCTGAGGGCACCCGTCACGCTAATATGCTTCCGTCTTAGCCCAGGGGATTTGTGGAGACACCAGCCAGAAATTTGCCGGGAAGACTTTGCATGAGGCGACAAAATGGGCCAGGGAAAGGCGATCGCTTTCACCTATGATGGACAAGTTGGCCCTATGAAGAGAGACGTCCCATAAAAAGCACAGGCAAGTACAAGATTGTGGTGGCTAAGCAATTTAGAAGAGGTGAAAGGGGCGTATACAGGGGTGGGGCCAAAGGGGCACTGGCCCCAGTTGAAAGCTGATTGGCTCCTGGACTGCCCCCTCTCCTGTCACTCACCGATTCAAAACATATCATTGGCTAATGATAATGTCGGCTTCTCGGTATGAATTACGGTCCCTTTTATGCCCCCCCCCCCCCATCTTAAAAAATCCTATAATCGCCCCTGAGCAGTAACCATAAAGGTTGTGGTTGCGGATGTGGGCTGGGGACTCACCTGTCCCTGTGCGTTGGTGACCAGCTGTCCACTGACTCCTTGCAGGCCTGACAGAGCGTTGCTGAATGCTTGGGGACCAGCCATGGAGCTCATGGCTGCCGCCGCCGCCGCTGCCTGGGAGGCCAGAGGATTGAGCTGCGAGAGAAGGTAGGGCAGCAGTTATGTGTAGTGATCGGCAGTGTAAGAGGCCGCTGGAGGTCCCTTAGAGAAAGGTACTTCACAGGAAAGCTTTCCATACAAAACAGTACGTGTTTCTTTGAAGCTGTACAGTGCATGAGCTGCGGCAGATATGCAGGACAGTGTCTGCTGAGCAACATCTATCTTCAAACTGCATGCAGTGCATGGTCAAGGAGGGGCAGTAGAGAGCACACATACACACAATGGGCTAGTTTACCTAAACTGCATGATGTTGAGCAAATGGCGCATGCAGATCAAGGCCCTGGTTGACAATGCCACTAACTGAGCCCCCTGCCCACCCTCAATAATGCTTTATTAAACTGTACTGTGGAATTCCCCATGTCATATTTCACATGGGACATCATGAAACATATGTAGAGTTTTTGACACTTTTTGTTTACATGGAAGAGTAAAAGCAGCGGAGTGTGAATTCCCAGCAAGGGCCTGCTGCTCTTTAGCCACATTGCACCTCTCCAGCATGGCCTTCGCTCTGCGGGTTCCACCACAAACGGCTCCGCTGGCGATGCTAAGCGCTCACGGGGCCCCTGGGATCTCGTCAGCCAGCCACACTTTGCAGCAAACATTTAGCCCAAACCACGGCCTCTTAGCTACCAAAGGCCCTAAAGCGCCAATGCATCATTATAACCAGTCCTGTCACCCCCAGAAGTCCGTCTGAACACAAACTCGTCGTCTCCACATTTTTTCTGTCTTTATTGTCACATCCCTTCCTGCCCCTTTGAAGTAACATAATTAACATAGCTAGACTCAAAAACAGCCTGATCTCTTAGCATCTCGTTTAGCTAAAGGTCTGTTTGTGTGCCTAGCCCCTGAGTTACTATAACTATAAATCAAGTTGACCATGCCTCACTGATTTGGTTGCAGTGCAAAAGAATGTGACATTATTAGGCTGTACAATAGATTAAGACCAAATTAGTCCACAAGACTCTGATGCCAGTGTAATAAAATTCAAGGCTATAAAATCACATGAAATGTATCTAGCTGATAAAACTGAAAAGGCTACTCTGAAGGAAATTAAAGCTGAGCTGAAGGCTGACAAAGAACTAGTAATAACTAAGCATGCGAAAAAATGCGATAGATAAAATGGTAAAATGTTAAAAATGTTTAAATTGTTAAAATTTTAACTTTGATACCTTGTGCAAGAATTAAATACACATATTATTTCCTTTGCTATTCATAGATGAACATCTTTAAAATACCCCTGATCTTCACCAAAGGTTAAAAATAATTTTTATATAATCGCTTTCATATTAATCTCAGCAGGGGGTTTCAGCTTCATTTGATGGTGGTCTTTTGGTCACTACTCATTTTTTTTAATTATAGGCCATGTGATGTTTCTTTTATGACTGTTTCTGAAATCGAATGTAAAAAACCACTGAACAATCAATACTTTTTCATTGACAGTAAAGGTTAAGCACATTAAGAACGACACTGCATTTCTCTTATAAAATCTTATTTTATGTTATCAGCTTTAAATTGGCAGAGATTGATACCGCGTGCCTCAGCTTGACAACACCGTCACATGAGTTTTTGTTGTCAGGAACAAGGAGGAGACCTTTCACCGAGCTGCATTCCTTTTTCATTCGATTTCTTCTTTGTCGGACATTTGTCCTTCAGAGATGTCGAATGCCGTTGGCAAAATCATGAACTTAGAAAGAAATAATTCATTTTTGAATTTTGCTCCGTACTGAAAAAACTTGTTGGATGCAGATAGAACCTACAGCTGCTGCTGGAGTTTGGTGGAAAAGCAGCATGAACATCAGGGTTTATTCAAACAAGGTTAAATTTATGTTGATTTCAAGAGGCACTGCGTGAATATGTCAGGCATGACTAACTCCTTAAGTAAGCTCTTGTGCAGCACTTTCCTGTTAATTTGCCAATAAAAATTGGGAACTTCCTTGACTTAAAAAAATATGCAAACTTCTTTCAAAATGCTAAGTGGGGAGATTCTGTGAGAAAACTTGAAAAATAGTCTTCATGTTGTTTGTCCTCATTTTTTGTCCCAGTGATAACTAAAAAATAATAAAACTTCACTCAACCTACCATGTCTCTGCTTACATTTCCACTATATGTTACTCTGACTTCATTTCTGGCCGAAACTGGGTCATAGTGAAGCATATGTTGATCATGGATCTGTGCTTCAGTTATGCTTCACCATCCTCCATTGCCATCCAGTTCAAGGCTGCCGTGAGCCTAGAATGTATCTCAGGAAGCACAGGGCACAAGGCAGGGGACACCCTGGATGGCACGGCAAGCTTCCTGTATAGCTATACTGTATAATCAGTATTTAATCATAGATAGAGTAAAGCAAATGAATCTGGAATGTGTAGTTTTATGAAGGCAAACAAATAAACGAGCCAGTTTCAATGCAACATTCAGGGCACTGATTTGATGTTTATAAGACGCTGACGGTGGTGACACTGTCGCCTTATGCCTCTGGGACCCGGGTTCGAATCTCCACCAGGATTCCATGTGTGTGGAGCTTGCACGTTCCCACTGTGTGTACTCTGGCTTCCCCCACGCTCACAAAACATGCTGAGGCTGATTGGTGTTACCACATTGCCCGTGTGCGTGTGTGTGTGTGAGAGAGAGAGAGAGAGAGAAAGAGAGAGAGAGAGAGAGAGAGAATGGTGAGTGTGCCCTGTGATGGGTTGGTGCCCCATCCTGGGCTGTTCCCTGCCTTGTGCCCATAGGCTCTGGACCCCCTGAGACCCTGAATATAATAAGTGGTTTCAGAAAATAGATGGATGGAAGATGCTGATGTGGCTAAGGGAGGGTCTTGATGAAGTCAATAAAGACCTGAGGTTGTTGCTGTTGGACTACCAAAGACCTGCTTTGACCTTCACTCATTTGCATAAAGGAATCAGAACCCAGAAGACCACTGATGTCTTTTCTGTCAGTCACCAATAGCTGGGCTGGTTGCCTGTTTTACCGTTTAATGTTTTAATTAGCCGCCAAAAATAGTCTATCGTCAGCATCATGATGCCACTGTACCACAGCCCCTGCAATGGTCCGTTAGTGAGCCCTGTTTTTCACCAATGGGCTGCTTAGACCACAATTACTGTGGAAGGCATGGGTGTCGTTATGTCTGATCATTCGGGGCTACAGACCCATGTATTTTAAACCCCACCCCGAGTATTAAGAAATAACTCAAGCCCCAGGTAACCTTGACTTAGCCCCTAATCTTTTCAATAGCTATAAACTCCCCAGGTGGAAGGCAAACTATGCCAAAAGTCTTACGATGGCTTTAGATACTCTGTGATACCCCCTTTTGATACATCATGTTAGAGATGTTCCACAATTCTTTACAAAAAACAGATAATTTGCTAGCTAGCCAATGGCCAGAATATCAGAGAGAGTTGGTAGCTGAGGCAACTCAATAACCCTTAAAATCAGGTATCAATCCCTAGTTACGGACCACAAATCACCACCTTATAAGTACTAAACTCCCATGTCCCTGCTGCCTAATCATTGTGTTCTGTAAAGTATTTGCAGTGGCCTGTCATTTACATTCATTTTGGTACAGTCCTGTCTTAATATAATTATTGTCTACCTCAGTGTAATGGCATAATGACATATAATATTATCATTTGATGTACTTTTTCATATAAACCTAGTGCCCTTGGAAATCAAATGATGAGCTGAACTAGGGGGCTTGGGGGACTATTAAAATAGACATGAATAAAATATCACAGGCACTCTGTGTAAGATTTGTTGTATTTCTGGATTATTGTGATGTTTTTTTAAGTTTGACAGCATGTAGGAGTAGCGCTGAATTGGTCTGAGTTTCCTTTATTGTTAATTTTTTTTCAATGCAGTCAGAAACTGGGGCATTAACTATTAGATGGTGATATAGTAAAAAATAAAAAAGAATTCACAATGTAACTGAGCCCAAAGCTGTAGTATGGAATGAAGCTGCCAGATGTATTTCTTTTCTTCTGACTGTTCTGTGTATTTGTAAGGCTTTCCTCCCCTAGTCTACAAACGAGCATTCACGCAAATCCGTCCCACTTGTCCACAGTGTGTCTGTGTGTGGGGGTGTCTGTGTGTCTCCAGGACCAGCATCGCATAGCCATTATTCCTCCACCTCATGCCCTCTGGCTTCTGTCTCCAAGCTCAAATATGAGCACTTTAGATTCTTAATGGGCTAATGTTTTAGTGAAAGGACCAATGGACTGTATTAACTGAAGAGCAAATTTCCAAAACTCATTCAGTCTGTTTTTTTTTTCTTTTTTTTTGAGATGAGACCACCATTGAACCAAAGCTCACTCAGTCATTATGAAATTCAACCAGGAGCTTTTGATCATTTCCGGTGGACTGAATGAGTCTTGGAAATTTGCTATTATTCATATATTATGCTTATTTTTGGAAGAAAAAATGATGTGGCGAGTCTTTCAAAGACTGTGATAGTGTCACATTATCCTTTTCAAGTCCAGAAAATGAAAAGTGCAGTAACAGCATGAGCCTGTTACAGACATTGGGAACATGATCTACGTGGCTGATTCCCTTTCCTGCATTGGCAAGGTGTAGATGCAGATGTATGGAGGAGCCCGGTCTGTTCATCTGCAGTGCCACAGAAGGTTTTCCCCACAACTTGAGCTGAGCGCTTGTGATTCTGGAGGTACAGTCTTTGTTGTCCCTTCACAAACAGCCGCTGGCTCTGTGTCTATTCTCTTGTTAGGTTATTGGGATGTGTGGTACACGCTGGTAGTTTACAAAGGAATTTCTAAAATATGTTGTTGTTTGCTAACAGTTTGTTAAATTTGTCACTAACTTTAGAATCCCTCAGAATTTAAACCCAAACTAGTTAACAAGTCACCGGCACACTAAAAGGTTTGCGTCAGTAAAAATTAGGAGCCACGTTCGCTAGCATTTCAGGCTTCTTCTCTACAGGCGAGCAAAAAGCAGGACGGACAAGCTACATGAAATATCACACCACC